GAGTTTAGGGCTGTTGTACATAGGGTCGCTATGAGTCGCAGGCGACTCGATGGCACATAACAACAACAACAACATGCAGAACATATATCATCAGGAGGTTGGGCTGTATGAGGAGGAATGTGGCATCAGGATTAGAGGAAGAATATTCATCAGCAACCTGTGTTGTGAAGATGACACAACACTGCTTGCTGTTTCTGAGGAAGACCTGAAGCACTTGCTGCAGAATGTCAGGGACTGCAGCCTTCAATATGGACTGAAGTTCAACATCAAGAAAACAAAGATTCTTACCACTGGGCCAATTGGCAACATCATTATGGATGGCGAAGAGATTGAGATTGTTAACAGTTTTAGTTTGCTTGGCTCCACAAGCAACACTCTTGGTACCAGCAGCCAGGAACTCAAGAGATGAATTGCATTGGGAAAGTCTACTGTCAGGGACCTCTCCAGAGTACTGAAGAGCAATGACATCAGGCTGGAGACTAAGGTGCACCTGATCCAGGCCATAGTCTTCACAATTGTGTGCTATGTGTCAGAGAGCTGGACAGTGACTAGGGATGATAGAGAATTGATGTCTTTGAGCTGGGGTGCTGGAGAAGAGTGTTGACTATACCATGGATGCTAGGGGAGCAAATAGGTTCATCCTGGAAAAGGTGAAACCAGGCTGGTTGCTCCTTGGAAGCAATGATTCTGAAGCTTCAGCTGACATACTTTGGACATGTTGTAAGGAGGGATCAGTCCTTGGAGAGGGACGTCATGTTTGGGAGGGTGGAGGGACAGTGCAAGAGAGGAAGACCCTCAAGATGGATCGATTCAGTGATTGGGGTAATGGGAGTAGGTGTGTTAGAGACAGTGAGGTTGGAATAGGATAGAGCAAGGTTAAGGGCCCTTTTACATAGGGTTGCTATGAGTTGCAAGCTCCGAAATGATAACTTTTCTACAGATGTTTGGAAGAAACTTTTGTTGTTGTTGCTGATAGCTGTCGAGTCGAGTATGACTCATAGTGACCCTATGAACAAAAGACCTGAAGCCTTTCTATAACTATCATTGTTTTCTCCAAGTTCATAGAGTTTTTAGAGGCATGTAGTTTAGGAAGTGGATGCTTCCAAACCTGTCTTAAACTGAGAGCGCCACCAAACTGTCCATCATGGGTAATCATCAGGCTATTTGATACCACAGTGGCACAAAGTTCAGCATCACAGCAACCCCAGGTTACTTCAGTACAGCATATTGACAGAAGAGTACTGTGCCACTTAGAAGAATGTTCCTCCAAAATATAATCACAGCTGACTTTCAAATACAGAGGCCCTCCCCGAGGTCTTGTTGACTCTAAACAAGAGGCTTAAATAAAAAACAGTCAATATAGTATATATATAATGATACACTTAGAGAAGGGACAGTAGTTAAAGAACAAGGTTAAAGTCTTTTCTTTATGGGGTCAGTATTTAGATGGCACTTAACAGCAATATATATTGCCAAGCCCTTGTCTTCCATTTTAGACTTTCTTGGTCTCAAATCTGTATGATGGTGCTCTTGTTTTGTTTGAGGATCTATGTAGATTGTTTCATTGTTTAGAGTCAACAAGACCTCCAGGAGGAAACTTGTATTTAAGGCCAAACCCTTGTCTCCATTTTGGAAACTGGGTGAATTGACTGGACTTTGTAAGATGGTCTGTCTTGTTTTGGTTGAGTGTCATTGTGGAATGTTTTATGGGTTTTATTATTATCAAACTCTTGTTTAGAGTCAACAAAACCTTCTGGAGGGCCCTTATATTTAATAAGTCGGGTCTGAAGGATTATCATTTAATCCTTTGCTACTGTATTTTGGAGGAACATTCTTCTAAGTCATATAGCACTCTTCAGTCATTTTGCTGTGCTTAGGTAATCTGGGTTTGCTGTGATGCTGTGCCTTTTACCATTGGGGTCTCATATGCCATAGTGGCTGCCCATGGTGTTTGATGGAGCTCCCAGTTTTAAGACAGGTCGGGAAGCAGGAGTGGTATCCGCTTCCTAAAACACATGCTTCTGGAAACTCCATGAACTTGGAAAAATGATAGTTATGAAAGGCCTCGGGTCTTTTGTTCACTGATTTGCTATGCATCGTGCATGACTCAACAGCAATTAACAACAACAACAACATGAAACCTATACCTAAATTAAAAAGCTGTTATCCAAACAAAGCAAGTTATCCACACAAAATGAATGAAAATCAAGGAAGATGTGCATTAAGACTGTATCCTTTCCTTATGTATATTCAGTCTACATGCAGTTAGACTGTATGAAGAAACATGTGGCATCAGAATAGGAGGAGATTAGGGAAGCAGCAGAATGCTCCCAGACAGGTGTTTTTGGGTGGTGAGAGCCAATGAGAATGCTTGATTATGGAGGAATGTGCAATGATGGAACTCATGGAGTTTGAACCATACCTTGGTTCTTAAATTCAGTTGGGCCCTCTGGCCTGGTTTTAATTGTTTTTAGTCTAACCTTTTTCTAAGTGGTATAGCACTGGTCTATCCATTTGCTGTACAGAGGTAACTCGTGGTTGCTGTGATGCTGAACACTGTGATGCTGACAAGTCAAATGTGATAATGGTTACTACACATGGTGGGTAGTGTTTGGTGGAGCTCCCCAATTAAAACAAGCCTGGAAGCAAGATTGGCATCCACTTCTGAAATAGCTTGCCTCTGGAAACCCTATGAACTTGGAGAAACTATGAAAGTTATAGAGGTGTTCAGGTCTTTGTTTCATAGGGTCACTATGAGTCGTTTATAACTTGATGGCACTTAACACCATAATGATGAAGTGTTTATTTTCTAGGCTGGAAGAGGAAGGCCTTAACTTTACAAATTGGGGCTTAGGGATACACTTGATTCAGATCCTAACAGGGTCATTTAACACTTCAGCAAGTTACTTAATCTCCCTTAGCTATAATTTACTCATCTGTAAAATGGGTATAATAAGAGTAAACTTAGGAGGTTTATTTGTGAAGATTTGATTAGATAATGTATGTGAAGTACTCAAAAGCTGTCTGTGAATATAGTCTGTATTAGTACTATGTTTCTTCATAGTAGTTGATTAATTATACTAAATGTTGCAGTAAGTTTCAATTGTATTGATAAAAATACTTTAGGGAGAAAATGCTGCTTTGCTTTTGTATATTTGGTATGTTTTATGAACAGAGTCAAAGCCAGCTGGTACACCAAATTCTTCTGGAGGAGGTGGTGGAAAACGAGGTAGAAAGAAAGATGATTCTCACTGGTGGTCCAGGTTCCAAAAGGTATGCTTTCTTTTGTTGATTTGAGCTTGTGATGGTGACCACAGGAAGGGTCAGAAAACACTAATATTGGGAGGGATTTGTGTTTTACAGTCCAGAGATTACATGTTGAGATTTTGTCTTCCTAGAAAACTTACCCTCTTTTTTTCCAGGGTGACTTTCCATGGGATGACAAGGAATTCAGGATGTATTTTCTGTGGACTGCTCTATTCTGGAGTGGTATCATGTTCTATTTCCTAGTCAAAAACTCTGGGAGAGAAATTACTTGGAAGGACTTTGTCAATAACTATCTTTCCAAAGGAGTAGTAAGTATTTTATGGTATAGTTGGCTGTGGTGATTAAAAAAAGGTCAGGAATTGGTGGGCATAGTCCAGTGGTGATTAATTTTATAAGATACAATGTACGGGAATGATTGTATGAAACATAATATCAGTGAAGGAAAGAGGGGAGGGGAAAGAATTATCAAATTTTTTTTTTTAAAAATGGTGACGTTGCAATTCTGAAGGCATGCAGTTCAAATCTACTGCTGCTCTGTGGGAGAAAGATAAGCAGTCTCCACCTGTGCGATTAACAGCCTCTGAAAACGTGGTGGAGGGTCAGCTGTGGGTTGGTTCCAACCTGAGAGTACATAATATAACATCAACTTTAAAATGCTGGAAAGTATAGCAACCAAGAAGCTTGGTTGTTCTGATCTTTTTTTATCCTTTTTTAAACTAAAAATTTGATTTCTACATTTATGAAAAAATTTTTCAATTTCTACTAGAACATATTTTTATAAAATGGCTCCAGATTGATCTTCCTGGCCATTTTTCTCATGGGGCTCAGCTGCCTCCTCTTCCTGCTGTAGCCTGTGAACCTCAGTGCTGGTGTGCCTTTAATGTCTTTAAGTCTCTGTGGCCATGGAAATTTTATAATCAGAGTTTTAGGGTATTAAAGCTGTTTAAACTAAGAGCAAACTATGGGTAAATTAATTAACCTCTTAATACTTTGAGTTTTCATTCATGAAATGGGTAGCATAAAGATAAGATACACTTACCAAAGTAATAAGTACTAAGAACCCAAAATTATTTTTAGAGGTCAGAGAGCAAGGTGAAAACTCTATCAACTCATTGCCATTGAGATAGAACCAGCTCATTGTTGACTCTCCAGTCTGATTTTGGAGACTGTAGCTAGCACAGAAGGAATGTGTCCATCTTTCTCTCAAGGTAGATTTGGACCAGAGAGGCATGACCTTTGGTCTGGAAGCTCAGCTCCATGGCTTTGGCCACCATGGCTTTGGCACATGAGGTGAGGATTGAAAATGAAAATTGTCAGATTTTTTTAAAAATTACTGTGGTAAAATATATGTCCATCTACAGTTATATTCTCTAGGTAGGTTTTTGAGGATGTGCTCAGTTAATTGTAGACAGGAAAATTCATGACAGCATTGCTTGTAAACAAAATTTGAAACCTGAATGCCTGTTAATAGGTGGATGGATAAAAACTTGGGTCATTTTAGTAAAGTAAAATACCAGGTTGGACTAACATGTTGGTGTGATAAACCACATACACACAGTGATGAGAGAAAAAAGAAAGTAATGAATGCATACAGAATGAATGGATTTTACTGTTAAAAAGGCAGAAGTGAGTGAATTGTTTGGGGTTACGTGCACATGTAGCACACACTCTCGGGGGTTGGGGCCTCAGGCATGGCAGTCTCTGCTGGGATAGGTGTGTCTGGTTGGGAACTTGGACATCTCCTGAAGTGATCACAGTGACCTGATATTAATCTCTAGTTCCTGCATGCACATTTAAATGAGCTTAAAGGAGTGTAAATTTATATTTCTTTTTAAACTTCTAGGTAGACAGACTGGAAGTTGTCAATAAGCGTTTCGTTCGAGTGACATTTATACCTGGAAAAATTCCTGTGGATGGGGTAAATTATTTTGTTAATTATATAAATTAGATTTAACTTAATTTGATTTTTTATACTTTTTATTGTGATTTGAGTAAAAGTTTACTTTTATTGTTTTTCTGTTCAGCTATTTATACATACTTTAAGTGTAATCCTCACAGTCTGATAGCACTAAACACTCTTCTTTCCATCATTTTCTGCTTGCTCTTCTGCCTTCTGAATTTTATGGTTGGCACAGGCTGCCCTTTTTCTCTTGTGTGCTATATTGCTCTAAGGTGAGGTGAGTGTTTTTGTTCAACTTACAAGTATGTCTATAAAGTTGAGCCACAAGAGTGACACTGGTTCCAGGTTCAGAAGGTGATTAAGGGCTCTCTCCGCATTAGACCAGTCTCTTCAGTAAGCCTGTGTGTTTTTATGATTTTAAGTTTTGTTCACATTCTTCCTGCTGTCTTCCCAGGACCTTCTATTACGGTTCCTTTTTGAACAGCCACCAATGGTAGCGAGATCTTGTCTGGGTCTAGTCTCCAGGTTGTGGTGGTTGAAGCTTTACAGGTCCATTAGCATTATGGACCTGTTGGGTCCATGTATTCTTGATTTTGCTCACTTTTCCCCCCTCTAAACAGAGAGTCCAATAGTTGTACCTTTGATTACAGCTCAGGAGATTTTTAAGACCTCAGTTACTACTCATCTGAGTAGAATGTAGAACATTGTCTTTGTGGACTGACTCTGTTATGCCAGTAGAGACTGTAGACCCAAGGCTTCTGGCTTAGCAACTCAGTCCTTCAGGGAGTTTGGTGATGATTAATAAACTTATATCACTTTTTCCACTGTTAATTCTGTATGTGGACATATATATGTACAGTATTGTCAGATTCACATACATGTGTGATAATACTGTCTGGTATTTCTACATGTATGGTCAGGGGTGCCACTGTTTCATTCCCCCATCTATGTTCATGTTGCCTTTCTGTGCATATATCCATTTTATACTGATGATGCAGAATTTTGATGTTCTTGTGTACTGTCAAGACAGAATGACTCATGACCCTCCCGCAGGTTTTCAGAGGCAATAAATCACATGGGAAGAGAAGGCCTATCTTTCTCCTGTTGAGCAGTGCCTGTATTTGAACTGTCTGCCTTTAGTTTGCAGCACACCTCTTTATCATTGAGCCACCAGAGCAGGACTGTGTATTTAATAAGATTTATCTTTTGTTTTCTGTACCTTTTATGTACGTCTCCTTGTCTTTTTCCCCTTTTTTTTTTTAAAAAAAAATTTATTATCCGCTGATTTTCTATTATTGCCTTTCCCTCCACCTAGCTATGTCTATCTAATTGGGAGCTCTGGTAGCCTAGTGTTAAGAAGCTGTACTGTAATCCCAAAAGCAGATTAATCTACCAATTGCTGTGTGGGAGGATGGACAGTTTCATTCCATGCAGTTTACTGCCTCTGAAAACCTGCTGGATGGTCCGCTTTGAGCTGGTTCCAACTCAGTAGCACACAGTAATAGCAACAACAACTAATTACTCATTTTCCTGATAACTATCCAAAAATATTTTGTTCTGTGTGTTAACTTTTCCATGTTGTTGTTATGTGCCTTCGAGTCGCTTATGATTCATAGGAACTCTGTGTGTAACAGCTCTAAATCCTACTCTATCCTGTGCCAACCTCATTGTCTCTGACACACCTACCCCTGTTACCCAGTCACTGAGTCAATCCATGTCATTAAGGGTCTTCCTTTCTTGGGCTATCCCTCCACACTCCCATGCATGATGTCCCTTTCCAAGGACTGGTCACTCCTTGCAACATGTCCAAAGTATGTCAGACGAAGCTTCAGAATCCTTGTCTCCAAGGAGCAGCCTGGTTTCACCCTCTCTAAGACAAACCTGTTTTGTTCTCTTAGCAGTCTATAGAATATTTGGTACTCTTGTTCAGCACCACAGCTCAAAGGCATCAATTCTTCTATCATCTCTAGTCATTGTCCAGTGTTCTGATGCATAGCAAGTAATTGCAAAGATCATGGCCTGGATCAGGCACACCTTAGTTTCCAGACTGACATCGTTGCTCTTCTGTACTCTTAAGGAGAGGTCTCTGAATGCAGACTTTTCCAGTACAATTTCTTTTGATTTCCTGGCTGATGGTATCAAGAGTGTTGATTGTGGAACCAAGCATACTAAAGCTGTTAACAATCTCAGTCTCTTCACCATCTATCATTCATGAAGAGAGAAAAAGGTCATTATAAAGACAGAGAAGAGGCGAGCTCTGGTGGCCTAGTGGCAAGAAGCTGCACCTCAATATCAGAAGTGCGTGGTTCGAATCCACCAGATGCTCTGCTGGAGAAGGAGGGACAGTTTCCCGTACCAGTCAGATCTGATTTGACGGTACACACACACACACAAAAATAATAAAATTTTTAAAAAGAAAGAGAAAAAAGAAACCCAAAGTGGATGTCAGAGAGACTCTGACAGTTGCATTAAAGTAAAATAGCTGAAGAGAAGATTTCAAAGAGCAGCTCAAGAAGACAAAGCAGAATATAATGGAATGTGCAGAGAGCTGGTATTGGAGGGAAAAAGGGGAAGAATTGGCTTTGCATTTCTCAAGCTGAGAGAACTAAACCACAGATTTAAGTCTCTAATCTCAGTATTCAGAGATGCTATGGGCAATATATTGAATAACTCAGGAAGCATCAAAAGAAGATGGAGAATCACTATACCAGAAAGAATTGACTGACACTAAAATATTTCATGAAGTACCATATGACCAGGAACCAGTGGTAATGAAGGAGGAAGTTAAAGCTGTCCTGAAGGCATTAGCAACAAATAAGGCCCAGGAATTTATGGGATACAGATTTACTTGTTCCCGTTAATAGATGCAGGCCTGGATGCACTTACTAGTCTATGTCAGGGAATTTGGAGGATAGCTGTCTAGTCAACAGATTAGAAGAGGACCATATTTGTTCCCATTCCCAAGAAATGATCCAGCAGAGTGTGGAAACTACTGAACAATATCATTAATATCACACACAAGCAAAAACTGCTGAAGATCATTCAAGGATGGCTAGAACAGTAAGTATATAGATTGGGAACTGCCAGAAGTTCAAGCAGTATTTAGAAGAGGTCCTGGTACCAGGGATATTATTGCTGATGTCAGATGGATCCTGGCTAAAACTAAAGAATACCAGAAGAATATTAATTTATGCTTTATTGACTATGCAAAGGCATTTAGAACTGAATTGTGCTCATGTTGAAATCTGTACCTAAACCAAGAGGCTGTTGTGTGGAAAGAACCAGGGAACACTACATGATTTAGAAAGGAATGTGTCATGATTGTATTCTCTCTCCATACCTACTCAGTCTGTATACAGAACAAATTATTTGAGAAGGTGAATTCTGTGAAGAAGAATGGGAGGAAGTCTCCTCAGTAATCTGCGTTATGCAAATGATGCAACCTTGCTTGTTGAAGGTAAGGAGGATGTGAAGCACTTACTGGAGAAGATCAAAGAATACAGCCTTTAATATGGATTGAATCTCAACGTCAAAAAAAATTCTTCAGGCAACATCATGCTGGATGGATAAAAGATTGTAACTGTCAGCATACTTCATCTTACTTGGATTCACAGTTAACACCTTTGATACCAGCAGTCAGAAACACGAGATATATTGCACTGGGAAAGTCTGCAGTCAGGGATCTCTGCAAATTGAGGAGCACTTATGTCAGTTTGAGGATGAAAGTGCATCTTTTTAGTCACTTTCTGTGCATTTGAGAGCTGGACATGAATAAGGATGAGGAAGAATTGATGCTGCCTGTGAACTGTGGTGATGGAGAAGAGTACTGAAGATCCTATGGACAGCCAAAAGAAGAAATATATCTTGGAGAAAGTGTATCCAGAGTGCTTCTTGGAGGCAAAGATGATGAAGCTTTGTGCATATTACTAGGAGAGGCTCTTCTTGGGGAAGAACATCATGCTTGGAAAAGTGGATGGTTGGTGAAGGAGAGGAAGACCCTTAACCAAACAGACCAGACAGATTGACACAGTGACTGCTGCAGTGGGCTCTAATGTGTCAGGAAGTGAGAGGATGGCATAGGACAGGACAGGGTTGTGATGTGTTTTTTGTAGGGTCACTGTGGGCTATACTACATTCCACAGCACCTAACAACAAGAACAACCATGTGAATTTTATAACTACCAAGAAACCACTTACCAAGAGCTGTTATAAATTGTAGAACTTACTATCCAAAGCAAAATTGAAGAAAAACTAAAAAATAACAAAAACCAAAAGAAGTTACTATCTACCTTTTATCTCTAGATAAATGGAGAGACATACTGGAAATGTTGTTGCCTCTTTAACATATTGTTAGGGAAGAATATATTTTTTTTCCATTGTATTTTTCTGAATTTTGTTTATTTTATGTAATAAACTTATGTTTTGATGAAAATTAAAGTTATTTTAAAAATGATTGTAGGCTAAACGTGGTCTTATTCTGTAAAATGGACTAACACTTGCAGAGTGCATAGGATAGAATCTAGAAGTTTTTCTCAGCCACTCAAGAGTTTGGTCAGACCCCTCAAGGAACTTAGTATAAAACTAAACTCAAAGCTGTTTATTGCTGTAGAATAGATTCTGACTCCTAGCCACCCTGTAGGGTAGAATGAAATTTCCAAGGCTATATAGGTCAGGTCTTCATGAGAACAGACTGACTCATCCTTCTCCCACAGAGTGCCTGCTGGGTTTGAACTGCCATCCTTGTGGTTGTTAGCAGAGTGCTTTGACTGCCGTAGCACCAAGTATCAAACGTCTAACATCTTTAGCATAACTACAAAAGCATACAAAGAGATCCAGATGTCATCCAGCAAGGGCTCATCTAATTTTAATTACCACATTAGGGTTTGTTTTGTTTTGATTTGGGAAAAGGCAATTAAGAAATACCTGGAAAATGGGGGAAAAATGTGTATTAGTAAAAAGATTCTGTTTTAAAATAGGCTTTTCAGTGTTTGCTTCGGCAGCACATATGCTAAAATTGGAACAGTAGAGAGAGATTCCTGTAGGAATCTGCAGTTTAGTCCATATTTTTCAGGAACTGAGAAGTTATCACTGAGAAGTTAGGGTGGAAGAAGGCAATGAATGACATAGGCATAGATGGCTGTCACATGGTAAGGATTGCAGTTGGGCACGAAACAGTATATGTATGGATCTGTTGGATAGAAAACAAGTTTGTTTTATCTAAATCACAAAGCAAAAAAGCCACCCAAAGACCTGGGGATTTTAGAACTACTAAGAGATTTTACTAAAAAAAGAAATATGTCACAGGGATTGCAGTTATTAATAAAACGTAATTACCATGTCAGAGTAGTCTGGCCTTTTTTTTTTAATTTCAGTATCTTTCAGTATATTTTTAGTATTTCTGAAATAGTTTTTACAAGTTAAACTCTTCAGTGAATTGAACATTTTGTGTTGCTCTCATTTTTAGGATGTTTTGTATTTCTATTTTTATAGCAGTACATCTGGTTTAATATTGGTAGTGTGGACACCTTTGAGCGGAATCTGGAAACTTTACAGCAAGAACTGGGAATAGAAGGAGAGAATCGAGTCCCTGTTGTCTACATTGCTGAAAGTGACGGGTGAGCAGTAGTTAAAACGTCCTTGCATCAGTTGGTCTTGGAGTGCTTTATGGACCCTTCACTGCAGCTGTAGCATTCACTGCGTGTCTCATGTCACTAGGTGGCAGTGTTGGCAATTATAGTCTCAGACATACCTTTATCAATTTAGTCTGAAAAAAACACAAGGAAAACAACAACTATTATTAACTAGAGTCCCTGAGTGATGCCAGTGAGGATTCAAACCCACCTAGAGGCACCTCCGGAGAAAAGCCTGGTGCTATTTCAGAAAACAACGTTTAGGCCCTGTGGGGTGTCAGCTCTGCTCTGTACACATGGGGTTACTGAGAACAGAATCCACTCCAGGGCAATAGGTGGGTTGGTTTGCTGAATTAACTTGTTAGTTAGTTATTTTTATTAAATAGTGGCTTGGAGTATTAATGTCTAATGTATTGCCATTTAGTAAGATATTATTTAGCGTGATCACTGTCTTTTTTGTTTGTTTTGATTTGTTTGTAAAGCAACTTGATTTTTAATTTAACCGTTCATAACATTTTATTGTATAGCACTAATTATATTACTCACATTTTCCCCACTTCCCCCTATAATTCTGATTTCCATTAATCCTTCTATCCTGCTCCTTCCTACTTCAGGACTTTTATGATTGGGTAAATCCTGCTCTTTTAACCTTGCATGTTTGGGTGTTCTAAGGTATGGATGTCTCCCTGGTGTATTAGACATTTTATGTTTTTTTTCTGTTAGGCTATAAGTTGAGTTACGCCGGTGAGTTTTGTTCAGAGGGTGGATAAAGGTCATAGGCTTGGGAGGTCCATCAGTCTCTGAAACATGTTCACTTTTATGCAAGTTTTGCTTCTTTCCCCCTCCACTCTGTTCAAGATCTTGTACTGTCATCTTTTTTAGAGTGCTCAATGATGGTAGTGGGGCATCATCTAGTTAGTCTTGACTAGGGTTGTGAAAGTTGAAGCTTACATAGTCCATTAATCTTTAGGTTAATTTAATATTAGTAGTGTGGACACCTTTGAATGGAATCTGGAGAGTTCACTTTAAGAGCTGGGTATAGGAGAAAATTGGGTCCACTTAGTCTAATTGTTTTGGGACAGCTTGCTTTTCTTCCCTATTTGTTCTAGACTAAACCCAACAGTTGGTCTTCAGTTGGCTACTCTCCACCTATTAAGACCCCAGTTCCTACTCACCAAAGGATGTAAATCTGTCAATTACTCTTAGATATCTGTGCATTTCCCATGATGTTTATTGCTTCTTACATCTTGTCAGAGCACTTCTTTCTTTGCCCATCATTTGTTTTACTAAGATCACTTTAGAGATCTGGGCAGATGCTCAGTTCTCATCTTTTAGGGAGGGCACATTTACTTTAAGAGTCTTTGAGTTCATCATATGGGGACCTATAACCTTAGAGGGAGCTCTGGTGGCTGAGTGGTAAAAATCTACGCTGCAGTCCCAGAGGCAGGTGGTTCAAATGCACCACCTGCTCTGTGGGAGAATGATGGGTAATCTCCTTACATATGATGCCTCCCAACACTCACTGGAGGGTCAGTTGTGGGCCACTTCTAGCTACATAGCACACAACCACCACCATCACCACATAGTTTTAGAGTGTTTGTAAATATAAACCCAGGTAGAACTGACGAAGTTGCCCCATTTGCATTTGCGGTCAGTTTGGAGTGACACTAGAGATATCACTTCTTTTTCTGTATCTCTTACATAGCAGAACAACAAATACTTGTCTGCTAATTGAGTTTATGATGTTACTCAGATTTGGGAAATTTCATAACTTTTTGTCCTATAATCTGCCTGTTGTATTTGAATCCACATAGCATTGTTTCACATATGCTGTCTCTTCTGGCCTCAGAGATGATAACATAATATTAAATTTTATGGACTGCTACTGAAATTGAGCAAAAGGTTTATGCATCATTCAACCTTTTGATTCTCAGCCCAGTATTTAAACCATTGCACCACTAGCACTCTTTCCCACAGTTCTGTAAACATTTGCTCTCAGTGCATTTTGACTACCAGTGCAGCATCCTACAGGCTACACCGATATAGCTCTCATAGCAAGTTGGACTTATATTGTGCATACATGATAATTTGAAGGATACAGATTAAAAACAAAAATACAGTAGTCAGTATACATTTTAAAACACATTGTTTTGTGTTTGGTCTTTTGTGATTCTACTTTAGTGATTCACATATTAAAATTCCTTTTTTGTCTCAGACAAAACTTTAGAATATTCGTTTTTTGTTTTTGTAATATCCATAAGCACTTTATTATTCAGCGAATCACTTCCAAGACTGCCTGCCTGTCTGGGAGTGGACATTGAATAGAATATTCTATTTAAAAACAAAGTTTGTATTTATATCCCCATAGAATATATATTTCACAGTAGTAAAAAAAAAGCAAAGGTTAAAAATCTTAAAAAGCAGTGAATTTTGTGTATTCTTCCCTTTAGGTCATTTCTTCTGAGCATGTTGCCTACGGTCCTTATCATTGCATTTTTACTGTACACCATAAGAAGAGGTCCAGCTGGCATTGGCCGAACAGGCCGGGGGATGGGTGGACTCTTCAGTGTTGGAGAAACCACTGCCAAGGTCTTAAAGGATGAGATAGATGTGAAATTCAAAGATGTGGCAGGCTGTGAGGAGGCCAAATTAGAGATAATGGAATTTGTGAATTTCTTGAAAAATCCAAAGCAGTATCAAGATCTAGGAGCAAAAATCCCAAAGGTAAGATAGACTTTCAAAGTATTTCCAATTCATTAACACAGAAATTCTTTTGAAATATTTCATGATATATGAAGCTATTTAATGATGTTTGGTTACTTACTGAAAGTAACTTTTTGTACTTTCTATATCTTAAGGAAAAAAAACCTTTAGAGTTAAGAAGTAAGTTAGGTAGTTAGGGTAGTTAAGTTAAGGTAGATAGGTAACCTACTTAATTCTTAACTCCAAAGTTGTTTTTTATTTCTTTTCCTTCAGGCAGTGTTTTGGTATGAATACATATTTTGCCAGTACTGTGCAGATTTCTGAGAAGACATCTTCTCATTAGCCCTCTAGCTGTAGCCCTGAATGTGCTGTGGCCAGGATCTATGGCCTTTCCTGTGTGCCTGATGCTGGTGACAGCGCAGTGCTGCAGGGGGAGGAGGTGAGAGAGCGTTGCTGCTGACCTGCCTTCTTCCTTTACACACATAGGCTCGCTGTCCCAGCCCTGGTCCTGAGTCTGCTTCCTCTCAGACCTCAACGACTCCATTATTAGATTTAGATTGATGAATGAATTTAAAAAGTTTCATTCTTTTTTTAAAAAAAAATCACCTTTTAGAAATTTTAAATGAAATTGAATATTGTGTGTAAAACAATGTATTTGAATTTTTTAAATTGTTGTTAAGTGCTGTCGAGTTGCCTGTGACTCATAGCAACCATATGTACAACATCCCTAACCTCTGTTCTATCCTGTGCCAATCTCACTGTCTCCAACACACCTACCACAATTACCCCAGTCACTGAATCAATCCACTTCATAGAGGGTCTTCCTCTCCTGAGCTGTCCCTCCAACCTCCCAAGCATGATGTCCTTCTCCAAGGACTGGTCCCTCCTTGCAACATATTCTAAGTATATCAGATGAAGCTTCAGAATCCTTGCCTCCAAGGAGCAGCCTAGTTTAACCCTCTCCAGGGTGAACTTGTTCATTTTCTTAGCAGTCCATAGTATATTCAATACTCTAACACCGCAAAAGGCATCTATTCTCCTTCTATCCTCCCTAGTCATTGTCCAGCTCTCTGACCTGTATCAGGCTTACCTTAGTCTCCAGAGTGGCACCATTGCTCTTCAGTAATTTGGAGAGGTCCCTAACAGCAGACTTTACCATCACAAGATGTCTTTTAATTTTCCTGGCTGCGGTGCCAAGAATGTTGACTGTGGAGCCAAGCAAACTAAAGCTGTGAACAATCTCAATCTCTTCACCATCCATCCTGATGCTGCCAGTTGGCCCAGTGGTGAGAATCTTTGTCTTCTTGATAATGAGCCTCAATCCATAGTGAAGGTTGCAGTCCTTGACCTTCTGCAGCAAGTGCTTCAGGTCCTCCTCAGTTTTCAACCAACAGGATTGTGTCATCTGCATAACACAGATTGTTGATGAATCTTCCTCCAATCCTGATGCTACACTTTTTCTCATACAGCCCAGATTCCAGGATAATCTGTTCTGCATGTAGGTTAAAAAGGTATGGAGATAGGACACATCCCTGGCGTACACTCTTCCCAATTTGAACCATGCAGTGTTACATATGTATGTATGGATAAATGGTCCTTATTTCATAATTTTGTAATTTGCTGTTACATATTTAATACCTGTTAGCATATTATATAATTTTTTATTATTTAGTCAAGCTTGCATTTTTATTTTTACTTAACAATTGGTCATTATATTTCTTTTGTGAAAATGTTAAATGGGAAAAAAACACATGCAAAAAAAGTCCAAGTTTTATTGCAAAGTCTGGAAAACATTTCTTTCACTTATATCCACTTTCCTATACCTAATATGTCTAGTGGTCTGTCTGTTTATGAAAAAAGGACAAATAGTGATAATTATCACTTATCACAAAATTGAATAAAAATACAAATTCAATTTTAAGTCACGTATTCACTATATAAAAAATTCCTATCCTGCATTGAGAGTAGTCGTTATGTGCTGTCAAGTCACTTGCGACTCATAGAGAACCTGTATACAACACCTCTGAACCCTGCTCTATACTGTGCCACAACCTTCCTGTCTCTGACAAACGCATCCCCATTACCCCAGTCATGGACTCAATCCATGTCATCGAGGGTCTTCCTCTTTTGTGCTGTCCCTCTACCCTCCCAAGCATGATGTCTCTCTCCAGTGACCGGTCAGTCACTCCTTGCAACATGTCCAAAGTGTGTCAGATGAAGCTTCAGAATCTTTGTCTCAAAGGCTCAGTCTGGCCTCACCCTCTCTAGAACGAATCTTGTTTGTTTTCCTAGCAGCCCATGGTGTAGTCAGCACTCTTCTCCAGCACCACAGCTCGAAGGCATCAGTTCTCTTTGTATCATCCCTAGTCATTGTCCAGCTTTCTGAGGCATAACAAGTAATTGCAGAGACTATGGCCTGGATCAGATGCACTTTAGTCTCCAAACTGACACATTGCTCTTCAGTACTCTGTTTGTTTTTTTTGTGTTTTTTTTTTTGTTGTTGTTGTTTTTGATGCAACAGCAAGAGATAAGAGGTTTATTGCGGAGCTCCGGGCCGACCCTTATCTCTAGCAGGAGACAAAAGAGCCGACCCCGAGCAGACAAAGTTGGGTTTTTTTATACACTTTAGGGGGATACAACTGAGTATCAGCTTCTCATTGGGTGATGAAAGCTCTTCAGTACTCTGGAGAAGTCTCTGACAGCAGTCTTTCCCAATGCAATTAACTTTTGATTTCCTGGCTGCTGGGACCAAGAATGTGTTGAGAGCAGAAGTGGGGAATTGGGTTTATTATTATTTTGTTCAAAAATTAATTTAAAGATTATCAAAGGATTACAAGAATTGGTCATGTGGTATGTGTGTTTCCTTGAACTCTTTTTTTAAACCTCAGGAGAGTCCTTGCTTAAGTCACTATGTATGCATTATGAGACTAAAAATCTAAGAAAGAACATTAAAAATATTACAAATATGTATTTAAGATTTCACATTCTTCTCTATTATTTTTAAACAGAATGGCTTTTAAAAGTGCATTATTCTTCTTACATCTTAAAATATTCTACAGTGGATCCAATGTTTGAGAAATAGCAATAAGATTTATAGGCAAACATCTTCCTTGGAAATATGTGTGAATACATGTTTGTTCTTCTCAGATGCTAATTAATGAAATGTACTTTTCTTTTGTGTATTTGAAGGGTGCCATCCTCACAGGTCCTCCGGGCACTGGGAAGACACTGCTGGCCAAAGCCACAGCTGGAGAAGCCAATGTGCCTTTCATCACAGTCAGTGGCTCTGAGTTTTTGGAGATGTTTGTTGGTGTGGGTCCAGCTAGAGTAAGTGTCCTGTTCTGTGGTGATGAGACAGCAGCATCCCTCCTCCCCACCCAAACCCGGCTCTCTAGTCACCGTCCTGACCCTGTTGAGGACCAAGCCACCATCAGGCTAGTAATTTCTATCCAGCTGCTCCTACTCCTGTCACACTGCAGTGTTCTCTACAATATAAATTTAATTTCTGTCTTCCAAGAAATGGTTTAAATTTCTAGATTTTAAACAGAACCGCTTTATCAATATAGAATCCCTGCCCAGTCCAGTTGACCCATTTACAGTTACAGTTCAGTGCTTTTTTAGTATATTCACAGATTTGTGCTCACATCACAACAGGCAATTCAGAACAGTTTTCATCATCTTAAAAGAAATCCTTTATTCATTAGCAGTCACTTCTGTCACCCTAGCTCTAGCCAATGACAGATACATTTTCTATACATTTGTTGGAGGAATTGAATCATGTAATACATGGGCTTGTACCTGGCTTCTCTCATTAAATCTAGCATTTTCATGTAGTATCAGTGCTTCATTTCATTATTGCTAAATAACACTCTTATTGTATTGATAAACTACATTTATCTATTTATCTGTTAGTGGATGTTTGGGTTATTTCCGCTTTTGACTGTGATGAATAATGCCCTGTGAACATTCTTGTACAATATTTTGCGTGAAGATAAGTTTTTCATTCTTCTTGGGTATGTGTACAGGAGTGGAATTCTCAAGTGATATGATAATAATTACTAACCATTTGTTACTTCATTGCTGCTTTTCCCTCTTCTTTATACTGCCTTTCCTCATTTCAATACTATCTTCTTACTGTTTTTCACTCATTACTGTTTTCTTGTTTTATTCTAATATGTATTATACAGTGTGTGCTAATAAAGAGATTTCTTCATCTAGAATAGGAAACCCTACAGAGAATTTCTTAGTAAGAGGATAAATGATGCTCATTAGTAATGCATGACTAGTGTATGTACTTCTGTTAAGGTCCGAGACTTATTTGCCCTTGCTCGGAAGAATGCGCCCTGTATTCTTTTTATTGATGAAATAGACGCTGTGGGAAGGAAGAGAGGAAGAGGCAACTTTGGAGGGCAGAGTGAACAGGAGAATACACTCAACCAACTCCTTGTGGAAATGGATGGTAAATATTTATGTATTTTACATTTTAAATGACATTCTCTGGATTGTTATATGTCTTTAAAATGACAGTTCTTGTGCCACATGCTGAATATAGAAAAATAGACTGTTTTCTCTCAGACAAACAGTTCTTTCAAGGCTCTGCTATTCTGAGATAATAGATGTTCTTGCCTGGCAGTATTACCATGATGCAATCGTTACTGGTGTTAAGAGGGGTTTTGTAGTTAGTTTTTTATTAAGACAGAAATGATTCACTCAAGGATTTTAGTCAGATCTTCATAACCATTTGGGAATTTGAAGCCTTGGAAAAATCCATGTATACTCAAATGTGGTTTGGGAAGATTTAGAAAGTCAGAAGCAATGTTTTCATTTTAGTCAGGCATTTAATGTTCCTTAGTTACAGTGTGTTCCTAGGCTGCATAGTGCTTTGGTTGTGGTGATACATGCATGACTCTGTGTGCAGAAGTGTTGCACCCCATGTGAGAAGCCGCTTGTCTGCCTTAATGGTCAGCCCAGACTTAGTGATCCAAATGGATCATTTCAGGGAGGTCAGCACTTTCCCAGTGGCAGGGTCCCAAGAGTGGGAGTCTGAAGCCATGACACTGACATTTGAGAAATGGCTAATGGTTAATAAAGCCTAATCACTTATATGGATGCCTGTGTCCAAATATGTAGTTACTTTTCCTCTGATTCAGGGAATTTGTTTCTATATAGTAATTTGCTAATCTAACATTGGATTTAAAACTTTTGGGAATTATCAATATCTTAAGTTTCTAGTTAAATAAAATTTTGGTTATTTGTATTTTGGAAATAGTTTCTTGAAGTTTTAAATCTAATATTTGGTGATTATCAGTAAAGATAAGATAAATAGTAAGAAAAATAAACCCTTTCTTCACTTGCAAACATAGTTAAGATCTAAGGACTAGAACAGACAAGTTTATCTGGGAGGAAGTCCACCTGTAGTGTTCCTTAGAGGATCACAAGAATTAGACACAAGGATGGTGGTCAGAGAAAGAGAGGAAGACTCTCAACAAGATGGATTGACCCAGTTACTTTAACAGTGGCCTTGAGCATATTACAGATGGTGAGATTGGAGGGAGAATGGGAAAACATTCAGTTGTTCATAGGGTTGTTTTGAGTAATCAGTTCATTGACATTGAACAACAACAAGAACTCAGTAATTGTCTGAAAATATGTTATGTGAAAATGGAGGATGACCACATCAGATCACAAAATAGATGATGACCTTCATTTTCTGACTGTGAGATCCCTGAGAATCAGGGCCCAGCCAGGTTGTCTGCAGCCCTGACCACAAAGCTCCCATTTTCCTTACCTGGCACCTCAGTGTTTGCTGCTGCCAGCCAGCCTTCAGGTGGTAACACATAAAAGAGTTGCACTGAAAATTTTTTACTTTTATCATAAATATGAAATGTCAGATAATGAGAAAAAGGATAAGTAAGGACTAAGTGCAAATCTAGTTTATGCCTTGAATGTAAATAATAAGATAATAAATGGGGAAGCATTTTTAATATAGTAATGTGTTTGTTGTTCTGTTTGCCATTAATTTCAGCCTGTAGTGACCCTCTCGGACCAGGAGAGTTATCCTGTAGAATTTCCTAGGCTATAAATCTTTGTAAGATCAGATGGCTAGGTCTTTTCATCTTTGAAGTGATCAATGATTTTAAACTGCCAACATTTTGGTTAGCACCTAAACAGTTTACTCTGTGTCTGCCACCCAGGCTCTTTAATGTATTTGTAGTTACTTACAAATTCTTAATTGTTGTTGTTTATATAACAGAATATTTCCAGTTTCAACATTTTTTTACATGTACAGTTCAGTGACATTAATTACATGCATTGTGTTTTACGGTCATCACCTCCATCAGTTTCCTGAGTTTTCCATCACCTTTCACAGAAACTAGTTGTCCATAAGCAGTGACTCTCACTTGGGAATTTTTTATTAGTACATTGTTGTTTTCTTCTTTGTATCATTGACTAAAGATTGCATCTTTGTTACTGTCTTTTCAGGATTTAACACAACAACAAATGTCGTAATTTTGGCTGGCACTAATAGGCCAGACATCCTGGACCCTGCCCTGATGAGGCCGGGACGCTTTGACAGGCAGATCTTTATTGGTGAGATGACGTTCATGGCAGTCAGTCTGGTTCTTGTGGGGTTAGATATAATTCTTAACTGTAAAGTGTTTTCGTTTTTCACTTTTTCTTCTTAAAATTAAAGGACCACCAGACATAAAAGGAAGAGCCTCTATTTTCAAAGTTCATCTCAGACCACTAAAACTGGATAGTGCACTAGAAAAAGATAAACTGGCAAGAAAGCTTGCATCCTTAACTCCAGGGTTTTCAGGTGAGTTGGAGAGTCTTGCTGAACCACTTATGTGCCATCAAGTTGCCTGCGACCCTGTGTACAACAGCCCTAAACTCTGCCCTTACCTGTGTCAGTCTTACCATCTCCGACACACCTATTCCCCTTACCCCAGTCACTGAATCAATCCGTCTCATCGAGGGTCTACCTCTCCTGCGCTGTGCAGGAGAACCACTTACAGGTTTGTTAAAGCCAGTGACAATTAGGAGCCACCATTTCTTTTGTTATTTCTTATCTTGGCACTTCCTAAGTATATTTTTGGTGAGAAATTTCAAACATCTAGAGTTGAGAAGCTAGTACTACTTTAAGTCAGCACAGTCATGTTTTACATATACCTGTTGTGCCTGGCTTATTTTCATGCAGCTTAATGTTTTCAAGGCTCATTTGTGTTGTAGCATGTATTAGAACTTTATTTCATTTGTTACCAAATAATACTCTATTGACTATACCACATTTCATTTATCCATCATCATTTTGATGAACATTTAAATTCCACTTTTCAGCTTTTAGGGAGCTCCGGTGTCCTAATGGTTAAGGAGTTGTGCTGTCTACCCAAATGTAGGCAGTTCTCATCCACTAGCTGCTCTGTGGGAGAAAGATGGGCAGTCTATGAACACCTGCTGGAGTGTCGGTTCTAACTAGATTGCACATAACAGCAACAATTTTTGCTATTATGATTAATGATCTCCTTATTCATGTACAAATTTTGGTGTTTTTCCTCACTTTAAGTTATACAAACATACCGCATATCATTGAACTTCACAGATACTGTTTTTTAATCTTTACAAATTGAAAATGTGCAGCAATCATGCATTGAACAAGTTTATTGTTGCCATTTTTCCAGCTGCGTGTGTACACTTTGTGTCTCTGGCCCATTGTGGTAATTGTTGCAATGTTTCAGAATTAATAATGTACCATTAGTAGGCTACGGTATGGTGTAACTATTATCTTTGTGTGCACTGAGAAGCCAAACAGCACCTGGCATGCTTGGATAGATACTTGCTTTTTTGTGCTAGTCTGGAACTGTACCCAAAATATGTCTGCAAAGTGCCTGTAGGCCCAGGAGGAACACAGCTGTATCCTAGCTTTGTGCTTAACATCTTCCTCAGAAACTGACTCTGCGAACCACTTGACACATTTCACACACTTAAATCTAGCTGTTAATGGAATGTATTAAGCTATTTTAATGTTTATGGTTTAATATTTTATTGCTTATGGTTTAATGTTTATTATTAAAAAAAACCCATATAATGTTTACACTGTAAAAACTGATAGTCCCTCTAATTATCTGTGTTTTTATTTCAGTAAGCCAAGATTATATCAGGCAATTGTTACATGCTACAATAATGTTAACATTATAGTGAGTCAAACGGAATTATATTTGCATAAAACTTATTATTCCCTAACCTATATCCAGTTGAGGAAAGTGGGGGTTTGGTCATAATGTGTGAGTCACTAGTTGACTCTGTCTTGGTCTATAAGTGGCTCTGGGTCCCCTGTGGTCTGTGTTTCAGTCTGTAAGTGACTCTACATGTTCCTTTTGTAGGAGCTGACGTTGCTAATGTCTGTAATGAAGCTGCCTTAATTGCTGCCAGACATCTCTCGGACTCCATAAACCTGAAACACTTTGAACAAGCAGTTGAACGAGTGATTGGTGGTAAGGCAACAGAATGTAACTCTAGTTCAGAGGCTGATGAATTGAATCTGGGGAGGAGAATTTTGTATCAAAATGTGGACACAAAAGTGTGTCTAGTTGTTGCTGAGGATTGCAGAGCCTGTTTGGGGCCTTGGGTGGGTGAGTTTCTCTCCGGAACTGAGTGGAAATGAATGACAAGCATGCACAGGACTCAAGGTAGTGGCTCATCCTCAGCTTGTTGTCATGAACAGTAGGTGTCCAAGGTGTCTGCCCCTAGACTATACAAACCTATTGTTAGGAGCTCACAATCTTCCTGTTCCAAAGTACTTTATAAATGAGATACGTGTGTAGGCAGAAATGATGGACATAAACATTGACCCAATAAGAGCTTACACTGTCAGGATAGTGTCCTTTTCATGACCTGGTCTGTAGGAAATCACTGCTAGCCCAAAAGCCACACCTCTGTGGCAGCTGAAATCCATCAGTAACTCTTATACAATATGACTGACATGGGACATAAGGGAGAGAATAGGAAAAGAATGGATAGATCGAGAAAACTACAGTCTAAGAGATGAGGGGAAGAACGGTCTGAAAAGAAAATGTGGAAATTAAACTGGGTTAGTGGGATGGAGCATAAAGTACATGCATGAGCACCACATTTGAGGTGGGTATACCTGGAAAAGAGTTGTTTGTGTGTAGATACTGCAAAGCATTGGATAAGCTCAAGGACTACACATTTTATCCTTTAGCCAGTATTGAGCTAGCAAACTTTTCCCCTAAACAATAGATCAGGCACACCTTAGTCTTGGAACTGGCATCCTTGCTCATCCAAACTTTGGAAAGGTTCTTGACAGCAGATTTTCCCAATGCAACACATACTTTGATTTTTTAAAATTTTTATTGTGATTTTAGCAAAAGTTTACAGAAAGGTTGGGCTTTCATTCACTTATTGTTACATATTATTTTCCTACCTCCTCGTCCTTCATCCCATACCCGAAATCTACTTTGCAGTGCACCTCTTGTTCCAGATCATTGTCATACATATAATACTTAATCATGTATTCTTTCAGACCGTTCTTCCCCTCACCTCTTAACAATGCAGTTTTCCATATCTATCCATTCTTTTCCTATTCTGTCCCCTGTTCCCCATGTCAGTCACATTTTATAATAGTGATGTGTTATACAATACTTGTCCTTTTATGACTGAGACATCTCACTCGGCATAATGTCTTCTAGGCTCACTTGTGTGATGTTTTACACATTTGTTGTTTTTTAGTGCTATATAATATTCCATTGTGTGAATGTACCATACGCATCTGATCTTTGGTCATTAGTGTTTAGTACATTCTATTCTTGAGTTTTTAAATTTAAGTGCAATATACTGAAGGTCATATTTTGGTTCTCATGGACTTGTTTTAACTTTCTTTAACTTCAGTTTGAACTTGGCATATGAATAATTGATAGTCACTGTTGTACAGTCAGCACTGGCCCTGATTTTGGCTGCTGATGTTGAGCATCTCCCAACAGCTCTTTCCACAGATGTAGTCCTTCTGATTCCTGTGTAACCCATCAGGTGAAGTCTACTTATATAGTCATTGTTTATGGATTGGGTTGTTTTTTTTTATAAAAAAGTATTTGCAATGAACAAGAAATCATTCATTATACAAAATTCTATCATGTAATCTCCAGCCTCATTTCTGTCACTGAGGCCATATTTCCAACTACTAGCCCTCCTTCTTTGTTTCTAGTTGTTGCATTTCTGTCACCAGTTATTATTCTAGATTGTATGTATCCATTTCCAAAATAGCTTGCCTCTGGAAACTCTATGATCTTAGAGAAATGATGAAAGTTATACAAGTGTTCAGGACTTTGGTTCATAGGGTCACTATAAGTAGTGTACAATTCAACGGCACTTAACAACAGGTAAGGTTTCAGTCCTTGGGAAATGACATCATGCTGAGATAAGTGGAAGGTCAGAGAAGAAAAGATCCTCATCATGATGGATTGATACGGTTACTGTAATAGTGGGCTCGAGTATGTCTCGGATTGAGAGGATGGCGTAGGATGGGGCAAAGGTTAGATCTGTTCTTAGAATTGCTGTGAGTCATAGAGAGAGCTCTTTTTGCCTAGTGGATAGAAAGTTATGCTACCATGCCAAAGGTGGATGATTTTAATCTGCAGCCTTCAGGCCTGGTTTTAATTGTTTCGGGTCAAACATTCTAAGTGGTATAGCACTGGTCTGTCAATTTGCTGTACAGAGGTAACTTGTGGTTACTGTGATGCTAAACACTGTGGCACTGATGTGTCAAATGCGATAATAGTTACCCATGATGGACAGTGTTTGGTGGAGCTCCCAGATTAAAACAGGCTTGGAAGAAGGAGTGGCATCCACTCCAGAAATAGCTTGCCTCCGAAAACCCTATGAACTTAGTGTAACAATGAAAGTTATACAAGTGTTCAGGACTTTAATTCTTAGGGTCGCTGTGAGTCATTTATGACCCAGTGGCACTTAACGACAATAGACTGCATGTTTGATCTGTTAGCCAGACTTCACAAGTTGGTAGAAATTCTATTTATTCATCTTTGACTTTCGTATTTGGTAGATGAAGTTGTTGTTGTTATGTGCCATTGAGTCACCTGTGACTCATAGCAACCCTATTTACAGTAACCCTGAAACCTGCCCTAACCTGAGCCAGTCTCACTGACTCTGAAACACCTACCCCCATTACCGTGTCAATCCATTTCTTCCAGGATCTTCCTCTCCTACACTTTTCCTCAACCCTTACAAGCGTGATGTCCTTCTGTTTTTAACAGGACTTCTCTGTATGCAAATGGATATAGTATCCTATCACAGCACTGAACTTCAAGCCACCACAGTATGGCAAACGGCCAGATGAGTGGTGTCTAGTGCAGTCATACCTATAAAGACAGGCCAGGAAGGACAGAAAGGTTGAGGGCAGAGAAGATTGGAGGCAGCTGGTTTGTCGACTTGGGCTGGCGTGCAGCAGCAGTGTGAATAGAATGTGCTCTCCACCAGTGGATATGATGGTGGGGAGAGTGCTTAGGCCACAGTCCAGGGAGGAGGGCCTGACATTTGGTAGCACAGGAAAGAAAAGTGGGTTGGCAGGGCCACCAGGCCTTACTTCCAGCCTACATGCACAGTGAAGGGCGTCATTAAATAAGGAATAGGCACAAAGAAGGCTTGAAGTTTCAGGAGATAAAGACTAGCACAAATACATGAAGGAACTTGTCAACTGGATTAGAACAAGAAACCAGAATAATGCAGATTTCCATGAAGGTAGAGAAGCCAACATGACCATGTGCTTTAGTGTGGATTAGATTCTAAATAAGCAATTATTGAATTAATTGTGTAATAGACCATTTATTCTAGAAATTTGACATTGAGAAAAACCCAAGATGATCGATTTGATGCTAGAATCAAAATTCACTTCAGAGACAAGTGAATTATACATTTGCACTGTTTATATCCAGGGGAATCCTTAGTGTTAGTACAAAATGAAAATAGTAGAGAGAATGAGGAATGCTTGTGGTCTGAAGTAAAATGGAAAAATCATTTGTTCAACTGCTAAAGATTTGGAAACTACAAATCATTTTTTTTTAAAGATGTTGTTATGTTAGTAGGTGTTACAGAGTTGACCACAACCCTAGGAATAGTAGATATATGCCCTGCCCTGTCTGGGACCTTCCTTATAATCTCCATTATACTTGAGGCTGTTTCTACATTCACTGTGTGAGCCCATTTAATTGAGGATCTTCTGCCCTTTAGCTGACCCTTCGCCTTACTAAGCATGATGTCATTTTCCACAGAAGAATCCCTAATAACATGTTGTAAATATGTGAGACAAAGCTTCACCATTCTTGCATCTCTCAAAGGAGATTGTACTTTCTCCAGGTCATATTTGTTTGTTCTTTTGACAGTCCATAGGATATTCAGTCCTCTTATTCAACAAAACTCAAAGGCATTGATTTTTCATCTCTCATCTTTATTCATTGTCCAATACATAAGATGCATAGCAAGTAACTGAAAAGAACATGGATTGAATCCAGCATTTTTTAGTCTTTAAACTGACATCTTTGCTTCTTGGAACTTTGTGGAGGTCCTTGACAACAGCTTTTCCCGATAAAATATGTTTTTTTATTTCTTGACTCTTGGTTCTAAGGGAGTTAATTGTAGATGCAGGTAAGATGAAATAGTTGACAACTTCAATACTTTCACCATCAATCATGATGCCCATTGGCCCAGTGAAAAATTTCTTGGTTTTTTTTGGGGGGGTGAGAGGCAATCCACATTGAAGGCTGCAGTTTGCTCTTCTGTAGCAAGCACTTCAGGTCTCCTTCACTTTCTGTGAGCAGAGTTGTTTCATCTGCATAATTCAGCATGTTCTTGAGTCTTCCACCTATCCTGATGCCACATTCTTCTTCATAGAGCCCAACTTCTGAAGTTTTGTTTAGCATACAGATTGAATAGGTATGAGAAAAGATACAGCCTTGATGCATAGTTTGATTTTAAACTATTCCATGTTCCCTTGTTCTGTTCACACAGTAGCATCTTGGTCTAGGTTTGTATTTCAAATGAAAATAATTGAGTATGCTGGGATTCCCATTCTTCTCAGTGTTAGCCATAATTTTCTGTGATCCCGACAATTAAAAGCCTTTGCACAGTAAATAAAACAAAAATAGACATTCTTCTGGCATTCTCTGCTTTCAGCCAAGATCCATTTGATACCACCAGTAATAGCCCTGGTGCTACTACCTTTTCTAAATCCACCCAGCTTCCTGACAATTTTCTCTTTTTTTTTTTTCCTTTCAAAAGTTTATTTAGTATCAAGCAAGAAGAGACTTTGCTTAACACTACAGAACATTTCAAGACTTGAGTTACAAAAGAAGACCACATTATTTGCACTTGAAATTTGTTTCCCTTTTTACGCATGTTGGCAAGAGAGAAAAAAAGAAAATAAACTAGAATATGGCTGAAAGATAAAATAAGTCTGTGGAAACCTTTAAAATGAACGGTGAGGCTTATGTTAGAAGGATGGATTAACATATTTAGTAAACCTAGTTGTTTGGTTTAACACTAGTTAATCAAAATTATGTTTTTCTTCTGATGACCTATTTTTCATATACAGACTAGATATAACAAAATTTTATGTCTTTTTTTTCTGCCCAGTTGACATTTCAACAGTTTAAATTCCATTCATTCAATCATTTTAAGCATGCTGATTTATTAAAAAGAAATTGTTCATAGAAAAAAATTACTTTGAATAGTACACAGAACTAGTGGAGATTGGCTATTTCACATCAGACAGTACATTCAGTATCTGCTGTAGGGCTGGTTTCTGTAGACCCCCTTCGGTGTCCTCGAGGAAGGGGCCTTGTGTCTAGAGTTAGTCCACTCTTCCTGCCCATAGGTATCATATGTCCCCTCACTGAGTCCATGTCCATAATCATAGTAATCATTGCCACTCTGCGTTGGGGTGCTGTAGCTGTTCTCATAGGAATCATAGCTCTGGTCATCTTAAGCAGTACCATATCCATCATCTTAGTCGTATTCTCTGTAGGTCTCCTGTGCAGGGGATAGTGGTGGAGGCCGGGGGCACTCCTCTTGCTGGGGAAGGGGGGCGGTGAGCAGCCCTCTTCCTCGCCTCACTGGCTCTCGGGAGGAGAGGACCCCTCTGGGGGTCGGTGTTCCTCGGGGTGCACCAGCTGCAACTGGCAGGGCTGTGATTGCTCCCCTTTCCCTGTTGACCATGGGTGTACGTACACCTCGTTTTCGCAAAGGGAGCTTCTCTCACACCACTGGGATGTCGGCATTTTCTGAACCTCTATTCAAGTATGTCAACTCCTGGAGCTGGGCTTGCCTGATTTCATCATTATAGTCGGGGATGAGGAACTTCTTGATTTCTTCCCAAGCATGTCCCATGGGGGCATAGGCCTCTGCTGGCAGCGTGAATACTTCAATGAATACGTGGAGATCTCTTTGAGATGGAAGTACTTGGCTTCTCCACTTTTCCTCAGCTCTTCTTCCTTTTTCCTGTCCCGCATGGAGCCTTTTCCAAGAATGGACATTTTTGTCAACATTTCTTCCTGCAAACGCTTCAGGGAGTTGCCACATGGCCCCAGTAGTTTCCTCACAAAGTTGAATTTAAGGAACTGCTTCACAGGAATTAACACTTTCTTTCTGTCCCAGTTTCATGTTCTTATTGATCACCACATCAATGTACTTTTCTTCCTTGCTATCTCCTTTCTGAAACTTCTATTTCTTGGTTCACCAGCCGCAGAGCATGCGTGAACGAGGGGTCTGGTGAGTCCTTCTCCGCCATCAGGCAGGTACTTGTCTTCCATGCTCGAGGCCGACTGGGGCCCCTGGCACCCCATCCCCCAGCCCGCACCCGGAGGACCCAGCAGACCCTGCAGACCCGGCGGCCAGGCAGGCACGGCTCTGCACTAGGGCACGAGGAACCAGTGCCCGCTGTCCCCGCACGCAGACCCTGCACGGTCGGCCGAGCTACGTCGGTGACCCCAACGCAGCGTGCGACCTGCTCCGCCCAGGGCCGACAATTTTTTCTTGTTACACTGTGTAGTCTTTTTTTTTTTTTAATATGATGTTTTATTATTATTATTAATTTTAATAGACATTTACAGAGGTTTTGGATTTCCATTCATTCATTGCCGCACTTTTCTCCCTGCCCATCCCTCCCCACCAGCTCGCTTCCCCCTCCAAAGAGAAAAAGAAAAAAAAAATTCTTCATTTGTATACAATTCCCACATCCCTTCCCCCTCACCCCCCACCCTGAGTATACTTCACTATACAACCCTAATTCTGGATTCCTGTGCTAACCATAATACTCAATCATATATCACTTCTAATCTGTTCTTTCCGTCATCTGTTTCAATAAAATATACATAATTTATCTAGTTTTTTCTGTCATACCCCAATCCTGATGTCAGACCCATTCTACAACAGTGGCACCACGCAGTATTTTGTCCCTTTGTGACTGAGATATTTCACTCAGCATAATGTCCTCCAGGGTCACCCACTTTGAATAATATTGCATGAGTTCCTTGTTTTTCAATGCAGCATAGTATTCCATTGTGTGGATATACCACAGCTTCTCTATCCATTCGTTTGTTGATGGGCCCTTAGGCTGCTTCCACCTCTTTGCAAACAAAGCTGCGATAAACATGGGTGTGCATATATCTGCTTGGTAAATACTCTTTTGCGAGATTTGGCTTATTTTCATATTATATTGGATCAACTTTCTTGGAAACAGAACAGATAAAAGTTTCTTCCAGTCAGTTGGCAAAGCAGTTGTTCTGATATAGAGTAGTGGACATATCTAGGGTTGCATCTGTTAGTTGAAAAATACCGATTCCCAATGAGTCCTGGCACCTTATTTTTTTTTGCCAATGCCTTCAGTGCATCTTGAACTTCTTCCTTCATTACTACTGGCTCTTGCTCATATGATACTTCTAAAATTTTTAGTGTCGGCCAATTCTTTTTGGTACAGTGAACCTGTGTATTCCTTCCATCTTCCTTTGATGCTTAGTGGATCCTTAAAGATTTTATTCATGCATACTTAGTATTACAACTAGAGGTTTAAATTTGTTTTCAGTTTTTCCACTTGAGAAATGCCAAGCAAGTTCTTCCCTTTTTATTTTCTGACTCCCGCTCTGCACATTTTATTAAAATAGTTGCCCTTTGGAATTTTTTGTTTATCTCTTTTACTTTGTCATTTCTTCCCTTTGTTTTGGCTTCTTAATGGTGTAGTACAGTTTACAGAGTCTCTTTTGACATCCATTTGACCTGTTTTTTCTTTCCTGCCTCTGTAATAGCCTCTTTTTTCTTCATGGTTGATGTCAACCTGCAGCTTATTTGGTCCTTGATTATACATGTCTAGTACCTCAGACTTAATTCTTGAGATTGTTTTTTAAATTCAGAAGATGGTATAATGGGGGGCGATTGGAAGATTGTTATGTTAAATTATAATGAGTGAAGAATCTTTTTCTGGTAAGAAAGGCTTATCAGTGGTAAATAGAGAACTTGTCACTTATTCTCTATAACTTTCTGCCATTATGGCTTATGGCAAGGCTTGATTGGGTTTGTGTAGTTAAGACTATGCTTTTTTTTCTTTTAAAGTTTTTAAGTTTCCAGACTCTTAAGTTTTGACTTGTGAAATTCTCTCAGATAAGTTATCTTAAACATAGCACAACTGTTTTTGTCATGAGTGATGATGTCATTTACAAAATATATGAAACTGAATTACGTGTTCAAAATGAAATCCAGAGTCTACTTTTATTTATAACAGAGAAGAATCTTGCTTAAATGAGAGGCCCTTAAATTCTAAAGTAGACACATAACCTCCTGCCACAGTTGTCGACAGAGCAGATTCACCTGACTGGTTCCCTGGCTGGCCACCGCTGTCTAGTTAGTGCAAGTGTTCTGGCATTGGCCTTGCTGACTCTTCTAAAGTATTTTCAAATCCTGACCTAGCACACTGCTTCTCTTAGTTACCACCTGCCTTCTGTCAGGAATATAGAACAATTCACTCTTTTGTGGACAGCAGTTTTTTGTTTTTTTCTTTAGGTTGTATATTTGATAATTCTGTATTACACTAAGCAATGAGAACCTTTACAGAATTCTTTTCTGTGAGTTCTATAAGTGCTGCATTTTATTTTGCGTTTTAGTTTACTTCTCAGAACAGCAAAAGTTATTTAACAGCATGGGGAAATCCGAGGAAAAGTAGGCCTACTGGCAGGGGCTGTTGTATTTTTGTGCCTGAAAAGCAGTCTGTTTTGAAATGGGCCTTTGCTTGATAAATTTTTAGTCATAGACAGCTAACATTCCAAATTTGTACTTCATTTATATTACATTACTCCCGTTTATGTCATGTTACTGAATCATAGGGTTTAATGTTCTGTTATAATTTTGTTAGGCTTAGAGAAAAAAACCCAGGTTCTGCAGCCTGAGGAGAAGACAACTGTGGCATATCATGAAGCAGGGCATGCAGTTGCAGGCTGGTACCTGGAGCACGCTGACCCACTTTTGAAGGTAAGGTAGTGGTATTAAACTGAAAAAAGCCAGCAATTGTGTGATTATAATTACTAGAGAAAAAAAAAAATTGCACTCCCACAAAGGATAGCAATACATGTTACTTATATTGAAAAGTTTTTTGCAAAATCCTTTGGAAATAACAGTAGAATGAGGTGGTCATGTATGCCTTCCCCAGGTAAGTATAAAGATCAGAAAGAAAAATGCTTAAAAACAGACCCCAAAAAATAACAACCCCTGAACAAACAGACTAAAGCTGGAAGACTGTTCGCTTTTGAAAAGTGGGAAATGCAGTGGATCAGAGCTGTGAGACCTTGGCTTTGTTTGGCAATTTTCTCTAACTTCCTTTTCCAGAAGCTATGCATCTGGAAAATACTGGCTTTATTTTGAGATAGCAGAGGAGAGAGCTCAGGATTTGAAGGATTTGGAAATTTAGTGAGAGTTTTCACAAGAAAGAAAACTGCACCACAGATACCAATATAAAACAACCCAAGTCCCTAGTGACTCTTAACTCACACATGCATAGGGACATCAGAGGGATACCTGCCTGTGAGGCAAAAGTGCATCAAGTGAGATTTTAAGTCTTCGAGTTTTTTTAAACTGAGTACATTCCTCGGACTGGTACGTACAAGAAAACAGAAGTCTTAATAATTTCAGGCACCAGCAAGAACAGCTGAAAATTGAAGAGGGAAGCCCTGAAGCAAGTGAATCACAGAGAAGACAACGTTGAAATATACAGACAATATCCTAAAGAATCTACAAAAATGCCACAAGGACTAGTAAGTTGAATTAAGTAAGGTTGCATGGTTCAAGGTGGGTAGTATACAAAGATCATTTGTATGAATGTACATTTGCAGTGAATGACTAGAAATGAAAAATTCCACTTCAGTTACAGTAGCATCCTAAAATATTAAGGACTTTGAGAAAATTTGAACAGAATGTTCCTTAGGAACTGTGCGGTAAATGAAAAGTCTAAATAAAAATAGAGATCTACTGTGTTTATGCTATGTTCTAAATCAGCACGCAACATCATGAATCATGAAGAAGAGACAGAAATTGTCAACATTTCATCTTACTTGGATCCACAATCAGCACATTTGGTACAAGCAGTCAAGAAATCAGAAGGCTTATTGCATAGGGAAAATCTGCTGTCAGAGGCTGTCCAAAGTGCTGGGCTGAAGACCCAAGTTTGTAGACTAAATTAGGCCTTACTCAGGCCATGTCCTTTTCAGTCACTTTCTATGCATCTGAAAGTTGTACAGTGAATAAAGATAACAGAAGAAGGTTCTATGCCTTTGAGTTGTGGTGCTGGACAAGAGTACTGAATATCCCATGAACTGTGAAAAGAACAAACAGATATGTCTTAGAGAAGGTGTAGCCAGAGCACTTCTTGGAGGCAGGGATGTGCAACTTCGTCTCACTTTGGTTGGGTTTTTAGGAGGGGCCAATCCTTGGAAAAGGAAGACATCATGCTTTGAAAGGTGGAAAGTCAACAACGGGGAGGCCTTATACAGAAAGAAATGACTTAGTGACTCTAACAGTGTACTCAAGTGCAGCAGAGATAATTATAAAGGCACAGGAAAGAGCAGGGTTTATATCTGTTTTTCATAGTGTCACTCTGAGCCATAGTTGACTCTGTAGTACTTAACAGCATGTTCATTAAGATACCAGTTTTCCCCAAACTGGTTTTTCTTTTAGGGTTATTTCTATCATGATAGCAGGCTTTTTAAAAAGAAAGGTACCCTAAATCTAAAATTACATAGAAATACAGATTATCTAGAACTAAAGTCTGAACATTTAGGTTGAGGGGAGTATGCTACTTGTTTTCAAGTGACATATATAGTACACTGAAACAAAATAAAGCCCAGAAATAGACCCTTACACATACTTGTTTAATTGATTGTATGAAGTGAAACCAAGTTAATTCATGGGAAAGGATGGTCTTACCAACAAATATTTCTGGAACAAATACATAACATTTATATATTAATAAATAAACAGGAAATGTGTGAGAGCTCTTTACTTTGTTAATGTCTCTGAAATTAAAATCTTAAGAAAAAAGTGAACATTGACCCACATTGCCTCATATTATACACAAAAAATTATCTGAAACCTAAAAGATAAAACTGTACAGCTGCTAGAAGTAAACATGAGACAGACCAGCAGAGGCAGCAGCCAGAGCAGCCGCCGCCTGCGCCCTCCTGCCCACCTGCCCTCCACCCGCCCCAGTGTCTCTTTTCCCCCTCCTCCTCCAACCTTCCTTCCCCCTCATCCTCCTTTCTCCTCTACCACCCCTTCCTCCTCCGCCCTCCCGCAGGAGGTCCCCCTCGCCTTCCCACCCGCCCCTGTTGTTCTGCCCCTGGCCTACTTCCCGCTCGTTCCCCTTTTCCCCCTAAGTTGCCTAACAACTGTAGTTTTGTCTTTCACCCTTACCTGTGACCAAAGACTTGATCACTCAAAGTCCAGCTCACCAGAACACACCTTGACATGGACACCGGTGTGATTGAAGGTGGATTAAATGTCACTCTCACCATCCGGCTACTTATGCATGGAAAAGGAATTTGGCAGTATCATTGGAAAGAAAGGAGAATCCATTAAGAAGATGTGTGAAGAGGGTGGTGCATGTATCAACATCTCAGAAGGGAATTGTCCTGAGAGAATTAATCTCTTTGGCTAGACCTACTAATGCCATCTTTAAAGCCTTTGCTATGATCATTGACATGCCCAGTAACCCTGAGGCTGGTGGTTCCTGCTAGTCAGTATGGCTCTCTCATTGGAAAAGGTGGTTGTAAGATCAAGGAAATACGAGAGAGTACCGGGGCTCAGGTCCAGGTGGCAGGAGGTAGGCTCTCCAACTCAACTGAATGGGCCATCACTATTGCTGGCATTCTGCAATCCACCATTGAGTGTGTCAAACAGATCTGTGTGGTGATGTTGTAGTCCCGCCAAAGGGCATGACTATCCTGTATTGGCCCAAGCCATCCAGTTCTTTGGTCATCTTTGCAGGCAGTCAGGCCTACATCATTCAAGGACAGTATGCCATTCCACAGCCAGATTTGACCAAGCTGCATCAGTTGGCAATGCAGCAGTCTCATTTTCCTATGACACATGGCAACACCGGATTCAGTGCAGGTTTGGATGCATCTGCTCAGACTACTTCTCATGAACTCACCATTCCAAAAGATTTGATTGGCTGCATAATTGGGCATCAGGGCACCAAAATCAGTGAGATCCGTCAGATGTCTGGGATGCAGATCAAAATTGCGAACCCAGTGGAAGGATCTACAGATAGGCAGGTTACCATCACTGGATCTGCTGCCAGCATTAGCCTGGCTCAGTATCTAATCAATGTCAGGTTTTCTTCGGAGACGAGTGGCATAGGGAGCAGCTAGAACAATGCACGTTCATCCATAATCCCTTTCTGCTGTTCATCACCACCCATGATCAGTCTGTGTCATTTCTGAACAGTCAGCAATTCCAGGTTTTAAATGGTTTGTAAATTTTCCGTTTCTAAAACTTAAAAAAAAAACAAAACGTGAACATGAGAAAAATATTTGTGACCTTGACCTGGGAAAAATGTCATAGGACTCAAACATAACCAAAAAATACCATAAAAGGAAGTTAATTTCAAAAATCTCATCAGAAGTATAAATCTTTTGTTTTTTGAAGTACATTGTCAAGCAAATGAAAAGACAAGCTGCGTACATCTTGAGAAGTACATGTACTGTAGACATAAGACTTCTGCCTGGGATACATAAAGTACTCTTATAATTCAGTAATAAGAAGGTGAGCAGCCCAGCAAATGAAGTGAACAGATCTTTGTAAAAGAGGGTGTATACACATGAAAAAAACTCTTAAATCATTAGTCATCGGGAGCTAAAGATTCAAACTATAACCAAGTATTCTTTCCTTGAATTAGAATTTCTAATGTCTGGTGTTGGTTGATAAGAAAGTGGAATGATGTGCACACTTCTGATGAGAATGTAATGTGGTACAAACTAGATCAGGAAAAATGTTCGATGGTTTCTGGAATGAATAAACCAAGCTTTCCTTCCTGTCAAACAGTCTGACTACTAGAGAATTGAAAGTCTTGATGTACATCACTAATGAGATGTATGAATCTTGGAATATTTTTATTTATTGGAATGTTACAGGGCAGTAAAAATGTGTAGACTCTTAATACAGTATGGATTTATCTCAAAAAGTAGGGAAAGAAACCAAATACAAAAACCCACCTACTATATAATTCTATTAGCATTTAATTCTGCAAATTATAAGCTAATGTTTAGGAATCATTGAGTAGTTCCTATGGTTGAGGGAACTGGAAAGGGATTGATACCACAGGGAATTGCAGAGTTTTGTATCTGTTGTGATGGCTGTTTATACTTATCAAAACTCATCAAGAAGAAAAATTAAAACAACAACAAAAAAAAACCCTCATCAAACTGTTTTAAATGGTGCATTTTTTCCCCTTTTTTTAATTAATTAATTTTAATGAAAGTTTACGGAGACTTTGGATTTTCATTCATTCATTATTGCACTTTTCCCCCTGCTGAACCTCCCCCCCCCACTTCATTCTTCTCTTTGAAAAGTAAAATTCTTTCATTGTCATATATACACATTCACTCCTCCCTGCCCCCTCACCGCCCCCCCGCCAATCTACTCCACTATGCAGCCTTCGTTCTGGACTCATGTCATGGCAATAATACCTAATCATATATCCCTTTTAAGTAGTTCTTCCCCTTATCTGTTTCAATGCAGTATACATAATTTATCTTTCTCAGTCTCCCTGAAATCCCATTGTCAGTCCCATTTTACAACAGTGGCATTTTACAACAGTGTCCTTTTGTGACTGAGATATTTCATTCAGCTTAATGTCCTCAGCATAATATTTTGTAAATATTTTTGTGAGTTCCTTGTTTTTCAGTGTAGTGTAGTATTCCATTGTGTGAATATACCACAGCTTCTCTATCCATTCATTTGTTCATGGGCACTTAGATTCTTTCCAACTCTTTGCAAATGTGAACAAAGCCAGGATAAACATAGGTGTGCATATATCTGCTTGGGTGACAGTTATGGTTTCTTTGGGGTATATCCATCCCAGTAGTAGAATTGCTGGGTCCAATGGTATTTCTATTTGCAGCTTTTTGAGAAAGTGCCATACTGCCTTCCATAGTGGTTGCACCATTTTACACTCCTACCAACTGTGAATAAGGGTTCTGGATTCTCCACAATCTCTTCAGCATTTGTTGCTTTGCTGTTCTGTTAAATTTTGCTATTATGACTGGGGTGAGATGATATCTCATAATTGTTTTGATTTGTATCTTTCTTAGAGCTAGGGATTTTAAACATTTCTTCATGTGTATGTTTGTCATCTGAATGTCTTTGGTGAAGTGTCTGTTCATATCCTGTGCCCATTTTTCAGTTGGGTTGTTTACCTTTATCTTGTCATGCTCAAGTATTTTTTAAATTCTTAAGTCCCTTATCTGACACGGCATTACCAAATAATTTTTTTTTTGCCAGTTTGTGCTTCCCTTTTTACCCTATTGGAGAAGTTTTTGGATGTGCACAGGGATTTGATTCTTAGAAGGTCCCATTCATCTATTTTATCCTCTCCTTATTATAGATGGTGCATGTTATTGTATAAATCATTCCTCAAAATTTATCTTTTTAAAAGATTTTTTTTGTAGTATGTGTGTTTTCATTTGTTCATTTGTGTGAGCAATCTGAAAGTTTGCAAAGCATAGTGGTTTTTCATTCATTCATTCATTCATTTACATATGGTTTGTATTTGAACATTAATTACAATCCCTACCAAGTAATTGTACTTTTTCCACTCCCTCCCTATAGTTTTCATTTCATTAATCTAGTCCTATTCCTTCCTGCCTTCAAGGTTTTATCCTTGGGTAAATGTATAATGCCACTAACAAAAGAGAATACAGAGAGGTACACAAGTAATACATCCAACAGCAGATACATAAGCAGATAGGCAAGACAGACAAGTTTGGATAGTTGGAAAAGGATTATACCTATGAGGCGGATGGTTTGTCTGCATTCATTTGAGGATATTTTGTGTATATAGAGAGCCAAAATGGGTAATGCTTTGTAGTCTTAATCATAACCTGCTGAGGGAATGCACATTGCTGGTTCTGGGCCTCGGGACCAAGTGTTGGAGGCCGGTTGGTGCAAGGTAGTCTGCTGTGTTCTGTGTCCTACTTCTGGGGGAGGGAGTGGAGTCTTAACAGCTTTAGAGCAGCCGTCTTGGGTGCAGCTATTGGTTTCTCTCTGTTTGTAATAGAAAATAGTGAAGCAAAGCAAAGCTGTACTGAGACTCTTCATGGACCATGTAAACTGCAATTCCAAAACTCTATGACCAGAAAAACCAGCTTCCACACTGACAGGGATAACAGTAGAAGATCCTGGTTAGAGTGAGGAAAATGCAGAGCAAAACTCTTAACATTAAAAGGATCAGGTGTACCAGGCCAAGAGAGATTGGTGGGACCGCCGAGACTATGGTCTTATTCATGCTTTGGACCTGGAACAGAAATCATTCCCCTGTATCAGCTTTCAGCCAAACAACAAACAGACCTATAAAGTGACCTCATAAAGCCATAAAGGCACTCAGGGCTTATAATAGACAATATAATGTTGAAAAAAGAGCATTTAATGGAGGGAAAATAGTGAATTATGGCTTAGTGGCAAGAAACTGTACTGCCAACCCTAAGGGAAACAGTTCAAATCCACCATCTGCTCCACAGGAGAAGATGGGCAGTCTCCTCTTGTGTGATTTATTGCCTCTGAAAACCTGCTAAAGGGCCAGCTATGACTCAGATGGAACATAGAACAAAAACAGTTAACTTAAAAAAGAATGGGGTGAGGAGAAAGGCAAGTGAAAGCTACTATAGTATATTGATCTGCTTTCCTCGCTCCTTGAAAGGAAGCCAAGGCTGTGTCTGAGATTGAGTTGTCTGTATAGCACCTATAACATCAGTGACGTAGTAGCTTCAGTGTTGGGTTTTCACTGTAATGCTGGTGGGTCAGCCCTCCCATCCATTGCTAAGGAGCAAGAAGAAGTCACTGCCCTCATCAAAATTTATAGTGTCCTGGACTCATGTCATGACAATAATACCTAATCAGATATACCTTTTAAACAGTTTTCTCATCTGTTTCAATGCAGTATATAGAATTTATCCCATCTTTCTCACTCTCTTCCCCAACCCCTATGTCAGTCCCATTTTACAACAGTGGCACTATGCAGTATTTGTCCTTTTGTGACTGAGATATTTCACTCAGCATAAGGTCCTCCAGGGTCATCTATTTTGTAAATATTTCTCGAGTTCCTGGTCTTTCAATGCAGCATTCCATTATAGTATTTCATGTGTGAATATACCACAGCTTCTCTATCCATTCATTTGTTCACGGGCACTTAGATTGTTTCCAACTCTTTGCTAATGTGAACAAAGCCATGATAAACATGGGTGTGCATATCTGCTTGGGTGACAGTTATGGTTTCTTTGGGGTTTATTTTGAGTAGTGGAATTGCTGGGTCAAGTGGTATTTCTGTTTGCAACTTTTTGAGAAAGTGCCATACTGCCTTCCATAGTGGTTGCACCATTTTACACTCCCACCATCTGTGAATAAGGGTTCCGGTTTCTCCACAGCCTCTCCAGCATTTGTTGCTTTGCTGTTCTGTTAAATTTTGCTATTCTGACTGGGGTGAGATGATACCTCATAGTTGTTTTAATTTGCATCTTTTTTAGTGGAGTGGACTTGGGGGGAGGGATTGTATAACAATGAAATACGTTTTCTTTTAATTTTCAAAGAGAACAAACTGGGGAGGCAGGGTGGGCAGGGAGAAAAGTGCAACAGTGAATGAATGGAAGTCCAAAATCTCTGTAAATTTTCATTAAAAATAAAAATATAGCGCCAGAAACCCTGCTCAGCAGTACTCTATTCTGTAGTGTCTCTGATTTGGAAACCACTTGGCTAGCCATGGCTAAGTGTGCTCAGCATGTAATCTGTTAGACTGCACTCCCACATAGGGTAAGTGTTGTTCACCAGGCATCCTGTTGTCAATAGAGTCATTTCAATTGAATAAAAAAAGAAAAAGAAGTCCTTTATAAATCTCTAAAGTAGAACTGTCTTAAGAGACTCCTGAACAGTAATTGATGCTCCTAAAAGACAGGTTGCATTGGGAAAATATGTCAGGGGGCTCTCCAGAGTACTAAAGAAGGATGGCAGTCTAGAGAATAATGTGTGCCTGATTAAAATCATGGTCTTCTCAATTACTTGCTATGCATGTGAGAGCTGGACAGTGACTTAGGATGACAGAAGAAGAATCAATACCTTTGAGTTGTGATATGGTATTGAATATACCATGAACTTCCAGGAAGACCCTGGATGAGACGGGTTGACACAGTGACACTGGCAGTGAGGTCAAGTGTGTCAGAGACGGTGACATTGGCTCAGGACAGGGCAAGTTTCAGAGCCATTGTACCATAGGGTCTCTTAAGGGTTATAGTAGACCCAATGGTTCATAACAACAACCATCACTACTGCTAGATCTTATTAAGGCTAGTGCAAGCTGAGCAAGTTTTTAAATATTCAACAAGAATGATTTCATCAATTTGCATTTGATAGCTAAATCTTCATTTTTATGTTTTCTCTAACCAGGTGTCCATTATCCCTCGTGGCAAAGGATTAGGCTATGCTCAGTATTTACCAAAAGAACAATACCTGTATACCAAAGAACAGCTCTTGGATAGAATGTGTATGACTTTAGGTGGTCGAGTTTCAGAAGAAATCTTTTTTGGAAGAATTACAACTGGTGCTCAGGATGACTTAAGAAAAGTAACTCAGAGTGCATATGCCCAAGTAAGTGTATGAAATAATGTTTCTGCCTCATGGTCTCTCATTTGCATGAGAAATTGACCTTCTTAAAATGAACCTATTTGACTGGTGTAGGTTTCTCAGGCAGGTTAGTTTAATTAGCCAAAACTAATAAATAAGCCGCGTGTGTGTGTGTGTGTGTGTGTGTGTGTGTTTAATATTGTATTTTTATTGTTTATTTCCTAAGTATATAAAGCATAGAGGAATTAGTACTGTTTTGTTTTTTAAAAAAGTACATAAAGCATATATTGTTTAATATATCATTATAAAACCATGGAATCCCATGATAGAATATCCCTTCTCTTTCTGTTATAAGTAATTACTGTCCTGAGTTTTGTTACATTATTTTCTTCTTTTCTCTTAAGTTTTACCATTGTTGTTGTTGTTGTTGTTGTTATGTGCCCTCGAGTCGTTTTCGACTCATAGTGACCCTATGCACAACAGCCCTAAACCCTGCTCTATCCTGCGCCAACCGCACTACCTCTGACACACCCATCCTGATTACCCTAGTCACCGAATCAATCCATCTCATATAGGGTCTTCCCCTCCTGTGCTGTCCCTCCACCCTGCCAAGCATGATGTCCCTCTCCAAGGACCCGTCCCTCCTGGC